GATTTTTTAAAGAATATTTTTTCAAGCCCTAATTATAAACGTGGATCTTTTAAAGAATATTTTTTCAAGCCCTAATTATAAACGTGGATCTTTTAAAGAATATTTTTTCAAGCCCTAATTAAAAAAGTGGATTTTTTAATGAATATTTTTTCAAGGACCATAAGGCCACCAAACGTGGATTTTTTTAACAAAATTTTTTCAAGGCCAAATAATTCAAATTTCTATCAACAAACAATTTGTACCACCATTTAGCCTATTTTAGAATACAATACACCAGCATAATGTCTTTATAATGTCAAAATTCAATAACAAAAAAATAACAACAACAAAAACGTACCATTTGAGTCATTTCATTGTACACTCCATGTCATGTGTGTATGTTTGTTTGTCTCCCAACACAAAGAACCACTTTCGCATAATCCTCTCTGAGGCAACTTGTGTGACTGTCAAACATTGAATGTTTTGATTTGGCATATTCTACGATGTTCATGTCCTTTGTTAGAGCTTATAAAAGGGAGCTGATCCGATATTGGTGTATTTTTCTTTGATTTTGTCTATTGAATTTTTTTATTGACAGATTGCCATCAAAAAACACTTAACCATGTTGGAAAAGCCTCCCCTAAATTCAATATTCAAAAAACACATACACACACCATATACCTACACTTTATTATGTTTTGAAAATTCACAACAAATGGAAATAAAAATTTGATTGGCGGATGCCATTTTTGGGAGAAGAATATATAAGTGCTTTCAAAGGGGTATTTAAGCATAATAAAAGCATAAAAAATCCACGTTTATTGGACTTTTGGTCCTTGAAAAAATATTTTTTTAAAAAATGCACGTTTATTGGACTTTTGGTCCTTGAAAAAATATTTTTTTAAAAAATGCACGTTTATTGGACTTTTGGTCCTTGAAAAAATATTTTTTTAAAAAATCCACGTTTATTGGACTTTTGGTCCTTGAAAAAATATTTTTTAAAAAATCCACGTTTATTGGACTTTTGGTCCTTGGAAAAATAATGTTTAAAAAATCCACGTTTATTGGACTTTTGGTCCTTGGAAAAATAATGTTTAAAAAATCCACGTTTATTGGACTTTTGGTCCTTGAAAAAATATTCTTTAAAAAATTCACGTTTATTGGTCCTTGAAAAAATATTCTTTAAAAAATCCACGTTTATTGGTCCTTGAAAAAATATTCTTTAAAAAATTCACGTTTATTGGTCCTTGAAAAAATATTCTTTAAAAAATTCACGTTTATTGGTCCTTGAAAAAATATTCTTTAAAAAATCCACGTTTATTGGTCATTTGGTCCTTGAAAAAATATTCTTTAAAAAATCCACGTTTATTGGTCTTTTGGTCCTTGAAAAATATTCTTTAAAAAATCCACGTTTATTGGTCTTTTGGTCCTTGAAAAAATATTCTTTAAAAAATCCACGTTATTGGTCATTTGGTCTTGAAAAAATATTCTTTAAAAAATCCACGTTTATTTAGTTCTTGAAAAAATATTCTTTAAAAAATCCACGTTTATTTAGTCCTTGAAATAATATTCTTTAAAAAATCCACGTTATTTAGTCCTTGAAAAAATATTCTTTAAAAAATCCACGTTTATTGGTCTTTTGGTCCTTGAAAAAATATTCTTTAAAAAATCCACGTTTATTGGTCTTTTGGTCCTTGAAAAATATTCTTTAAAAAATCCACGTTTCTTTTGGTCCTTGGAAAATATTATTTAAAAAATCCACGTTTCTTTTGGTCCTTGGAAAAATATTCTTTAAAAAATCCACGTTTCTTTTGGTCCTTGGAAAAATATTCTTTAAAAAATCCACGTTTCTTTTGGTCCTTGGAAAAATATTCTTTAAAAATCCACGTTTCTTTTGGTCCTTGGAAAATATTCTTTAAAAAATCCACGTTTCTTTTGGTCCTTGGAAAAATATTCTTTAAAAAATCCACGTTTCTTTTGGTCCTTGGAAAAATATTCTTTAAAAAATCCACGTTTCTTTTGGTCCTTGGAAAAATATTCTTTAAAAAATCCACGTTTCTTTTGGTCCTTGGAAAAATATTCTTTTAAAAAATCCACGTTTCTTTTGGTCCTTGGAAAAATATTCTTTAAAAAATCCACGTTTCTTTTGGTCCTTGGAAAAATATTCTTTAAAAAATCCAGGTTTATTTGGTCCTTGAAAAATATATTCTTTAAAAAATCCACGTTTCTGTTGGTCCTTGAAAAAATATTCTTTAAAAAATCCACGTTTACTTAGTCCTTGAAAAAATATTCTTTAAAAAATCCTCGTTTATTTAGTCCTTGAAAAAATATTCTTTAAAAGTCGACATTTTGGTCTGTGGAAAAATATCCTTAAAAAATCCACGTTTATTTAGTCCTTGAAAAAATATTCTTCAAAAAATCCACGTTTATTTAGTCCTTGAAAAAATATTCTTATAAAATCCACGTTTATTTAGTCCTTGAAAAAATATTCTTTAAAAAATCCACGTTTATTTAGTTCTTGAAAAAATATTCTTTAAAAAATCCACGTTTATTTAGTCCTCGAAATAATATTCTTTAAAAAATCCACGTTTATTTAGTCCTTGAAAAAATATTCTTTAAAAAATCCACGTTTATTTAGTTCTTGAAAAAATATTCTTTAAAAAAATCCACGTTTATTTAGTCCTTGAAATAATATTCTTTAAAAAATCCACGTTTATTTAGTCCTTGAAAAAATATTCTTTAAAAAATCCACGTTTATTGGTCTTTGGTCCTTGGAAAAATATTCTTTAAAAAATCCACGTTTCTTTTGGTCCTTGGAAAAATATTCTTTAAAAAATCCACGTTTCTTTTGGTCCTTGGAAAAATATTCTTTAAAAAATCCACGTTTCTTTTGGTCCTTGGAAAAATATTCTTTTAAAAATCCACGTTTCTTTTGGTCCTTGGAAAAATATTCTTTAAAAAATCCACGTTTATTTGGTCCTTGAAAAATATATTCTTTAAAAAATCCACGTTTCTTTTGGTCCTTGGAAAAATATTCTTTAAAAAATCCACGTTTCTTTTGGTCCTTGGGAAAAATATTCTTTAAAAAATCCACGTTTATTGGTCCTTGGGAAAAATATTCTTTAAAAAATCCACGTTTATTGGTCCTTGGGAAAAATATTCTTTAAAAAATCCACGTTTATTGGTCCTTGGGAAAAATATTCTTTAAAAAATCCACGTTTATTGGTCCTTGGGAAAAATATTCTTTAAAAAATCCACCCTTATTGGTCCTTGGGAAAAATATTCTTTAAAAAATCCACGTTTATTGGTTCTTGGGAAAAATATTGTTTAAAAAATCCACGTTTATTGGTCCTTGGGAAAAATATTCTTTAAAAAATCCACGTTTATTGGTCCACGAAAAAAATATTCTTTAAAAAATCCACATTTATTTAGTCCTTGAAAAAATATTCTTTAAAAAATCCACATTTATTTAGTCCTTGAAAAAATATTCTTTAAAAAATCCACGTTTATTTAGTCCATGAAAAAATATTCTTTAAAAAATCCACGTTTATTTAGTCCTTGAAAAAATATTGTTTAAAAAATCCACGTTTATTTAGTCCTTGAAAAAATATTCTTTAAAAAATCCACGTATATTTGGTCCTTGAAAAAATATTCTTTAAAAAATCCACGTTTATTTAGTCCTTGAAAAAATATTCTTTAAAAAATCCACGTTTATTGGTCTTTTGGTCCTTGAAAAAATATTCTTCAAAAAATCCACGTTTATAGGTCCTTGAAAAAATATTCTTAAAAAAATCCAAGTTTATTGGACTGGGGGTCCTTGAAAAAATATTCTTTAAAAAATCCACGTTTATTGGACTAGGGGTCCTTGAAAAAATATTCTTTAAAAAATCCTCGTTTAAGGGTCATTAAAAAAATGTTCTTTTAAAAAATCCGCGTTTATTGGTCCTCGGAAAAATTTTCTTTAAAAAATCAACGTTTATTGGTCTAAAGGTCCTTTTTTCTTTAAAAATCCAAAATCTTTTTTAAAATTACTGGAAAAATCAGAAATTATCGTATAAATATATTTTTGAAAAATCCAATTTTTGTTCTGCTTGAAAAAATATCTTAATATATCCCCGATTGTAGCTCTCCCTAATAAATATTCAGTCAACATTTATTTGACATTTAAATCATATAATTTCCACCTCATTTTTCCCATTATATTTTCAAAATTATTGTTGTTGTAGGCTTTTGTTTAATTTCCATTTTTCTTCATTCTCCATCGGCATGATTAACCATTGGCAAGCATGCAAACGTACAATTGTCCTTTATTATTCAAAAGTTAAATAACAATAGAGTTGAATGGATGAGAAATAGGCATGGCATAATAATAGCGATTTGTTCACAAGTGTTTTGGGTGAAAGGGTGTTGTTGGAAAGGCATTAAAGATATTTAAAAAATATTTAAAATTGCTTTAAAAATAATTTTGAGGTTGTGGTGCCGCAAATCAATTTTCCAGATTTCATCAGCAATTTTGTAATGTTCGAATTACCATCACCTCTTTGGGGGACCCCCTTTGACCTCGTACCAAGTAATTAGTTAAGAGCTGACAATAATTATATGAACTCAACCGAACTAAATTAGACTACTTAAGGTTGTACACCTGATTTAACATATGAGCTTAGGTAACAACAACAGCAACGCACACTCACTCACACGCGAACGCACATACACATTAACACATAATTTAGAGCTTTGTGCCTCTAGAGTGGGCGTATGTGTGTTTGTGTCTGTAGGTGTATTATTTATTTCTTCTGTAAGTGTGAATAGCTTTCTTCTAAATAGAGCAGAATTTATGTAGAACCCTGATAAAATATGTGAATCAGTGCGTTTGTGTGTGTGTGAACCCGTAAATGTCATTCCCCCCTCACCCTTCCCTCCCCCCACAGGCGAACAAATATGGCAGTCAATGTTGTGTAAATTTTAACCGGCTTATTTTCATTTATCATTCTTTGCTTTTATTATTATGTTTCGTGCCTCACTCGAGATGAAGAAACAGTTCAAAGGCAAAGGTAAAACAACCTCTGAGGTATAGATGGCCTGAAAGCTTGAGGAGAAGCGGGAAGAAGCTTGCGAAAACATATTAGAATGCGATTATATGTACATGTGTTTGTCTCTGTGTGTGTGTGTGTGTAATCAAACAGGTGTTAATATTTATGTAAAATAGAATTTTGTGTTTTGTTTATTGAAGCTATTAATAGGAGTGTGTTTGTGTGAACGAACTGCGAAAAGAAATGATACAGGGAAAGGGTAGACCAAGGCCATGTGCCTAATTTTTCAGAATTTTAAAGAACGAAATTTAGATTTAATTTTCAAAGTCAAATTTTTGGAGGGACTTGTCCAGCCAAAAATGTGGACTATTAAAAAAATATTTCTTTAAGGACCTTAAATGATTTTTTGAAAAACACTTTTATAAAGACCTTTCCCAAATAAAAATTCGTGTTTTTTTTTAAATTAATATTTTAAAGAAATTTTTTGAAGAATAGTTTTTTAAGAACCAAAAGTGGATTTTTCAAAGGTAATTGTTTTGAAGGACCCACAAGTAAACAAGTGCCAAGGACAAAGGACCTTCCAAAAATAGGGGATAATTTAACGAATATTTTTTTGGGACTGACTTTTAATAAACGAAGATTTTTTAAAGATTATTTTTTCAAAGGACTTTATTAACTATAATCGTGTTTAAAAAACCTTGTTTTAAGGACCTCCAAAGAAATAAGCTTTGATTTAAAAAAAAAAATTTCAATGACCTTCACAGCATTAAACGTGGATGTTTCAAAGAATATTTTTTAAAGGACCATCAGATCAGTAAATATGGATTTTTAAAGGAAATTTTTATTAAAGACCCACAGACAATAGGATGTGAATCCTTTTTCAAGGACCATACCAACAAGAAACGTAGGACCTTCAGGCCAATAAACGTGGATTTTTAATTATTTTTTCCAAATACCTTTAAACCAAAAACGAGGATTTTCCAAAAAATTTTTTCAAGGACCTTCCGGCCTATAAACCTGGATTTTCTAAATTTATTTCCAAATACCTTCAGACCTATAAATGTGTTTTGTTTTTAATTTTTTTCCAAGACATTCAGACCTATAAAAGTGGATTTGTTTAATTTATTTCCAAGGACCTTCAGAGCTATAAACGTGGATTTTTTAAATTTATTCCCAAGGACCTTCAGACCTATATACGTGGACTTTTTAAATTTATTTCCAAGGCCGATAAACGGAATTTTTTTTAATTTATTTCCAAAGACCTTCAGAGCTATAAACGTGGATTTTTTAAATTTATGTCCAAGGACCTTCAGACCTATATACGTGGAGTTTTTAAATTTATTTCCACGGACCTTCAGAACTACAAACGTGGATTTTTTAAATTTATTTCCAAGGACCTTCAGAACTATAAACATGGATTTTTTAAATTTATTTCTAAGGACCTTCAGAACTATAAACGTGGATTTTTTAAATTTATTTCTAAGGACCTTCAGAACTATAAACGTGGATTTTTTAAATTTATTTCGTAGGACCTTTGGACATATAAAGGTGGATTTTTAAATTTATTTCCAAGGACCTATAAAGGTGGAATTTTAAATTTATTTCCAAGGACCTTCATACCTATAAACGTCGATTTTTGTAAAGTATATTTTTTCAACGACCTTTCTGGGAAGGATTTTTACGTGGATTTGTAAAGAATATTTTTTAAAGAACCTTCCCAACAATAAACGTGGTTTTTTTCAAAGAATATTTTTTTCTATCACCTTCGGACCATAAGCTTTGATTTATTTCAAAGCACCTTCAAACCATAAGCGTGAAGTTTGGTTTATCCAAGGACATTACCAACAATAAACGTGTTTTTTAAAGAATATTTTTTAAAGACCTTTAAACGTGGGATTTTTAATTTCTTTCCAAGGAACTTAAAAACAATAAACGCGGATTTCAATAATAAACATGGATTTTTAAATAGTATTTTTTCAAGGACCTTCGCAAAAATAAACGTGGAATTTTAAAGAGTATTTTTTCAAGGACCTTCATAAAAATTAACGTGGAATTTAAAAGAGTATTTTTTCAAGGACCTTCACAAAACTAAAAGTGGAATTTTAAAGAGTATTTTTTCAAGGACCTTCACAAAAATTAACGTGGAATTTTAAAGAGTATTCTTTCAAGGACCTTCACAAAAATTAACGTGGAATTTTAAAGAATATTTTTCCAAGGACCTTCAGATAAATAAACGTGGATTTTTAAAGAATATTTTTCCAAGGACCTTTCCAGAAATAAACGTGGATTTTTAAAGAATATTTTTTCCAAGGACCTTCAGATAAATAAACGTGGATTTTTAAAGAATATTTTTCCAAGGACCTTCAGATAAATAAACGTGGATTTTTAAAGAATATTTTTACAAGGACCTTCAGATAAATAAACGTGGATTTTTAAAGAATAATTTTCCAAGGACCTTTCCAGAAATAAACGTGGATTTTTAAAGAATATTTTTCCAAGGACCTTTCCAGAAATAAACGTGGATTTTTAAAGAATATTTTTCCAAGGACCTTCAGATAAATAAACGTGGATTTTTTAAAGAATATTTTTCCAAGGACCTTCAGATTTATAAACGTGGATTTTTTAAAGAATATTTTTCCAAGGACCTTCAGATAAATAAACGTGGATTTTTAAAGAATATTTTTCCAAGGACCTTTCCAGAAGTAAACGTGGATTTTTAAAGAATATTTTTTAAGGACATTCCCAATTCGGACCAATAAACTGTGGATTTTTTAATGAATATTTTTCAAGGACATTCCCAATTTGGACCAATAAACTGTGGATTTTTGAAAGAATATTTTTCAAGGACATTCCCAATTTGGACCAATAAACTGTGGATTTTTTAAAGAATATTTTTCAAGGACATTCCCAATTTGGACCAATAAACTGGGGTTTTTTTAAAGAATATTTTTCAAGGACATTCCCAATTTGGACCAATAAACTGTGGATTTTTAAAGAATATTTTGCAAGAACCTTTAGATTAATTTACGTAGATCTCATAAAGAAAAATTTTCCAAGGACCTTCGAACAAATAATCTTTGAATTTTTAATAAATATTTTACAAGGACGTTAAGACCAAGGAACTTGGATTTTTTAAAGGATCAAGGACCTTGCTAACAATGGAAATGTTTTCTTTTTTAAATTTTTAGTTATGTAAGATTTTTTCGATTCCTCTTTTGATCCTTATATAACTTTTAAAAATTATTCTTTAGAATTTCTGGCATAAATTTTTAAGGCATTGAAAATTTGGCTTTTTGAAATTCATGAAATTTGTCTTTTGGGATTATTTGAAATGAGTCCACTTTAGATTCTTAAGAATTGTCCTGTTTGGATTCTTGAATTATATTCTTTGAATATTTTGAAATGTGTCTTTCTCCATCTTTGAAATTTGTCCCCTGTGGGCTTAAAATTTCTGAAATCTATTTTTAAATATTTCAGAAATGTATTATTTGGGTATGTAGATCTTCGAAATTTGACCTTCCTTGGTAATTAGTAATTTGTCATGTTTGGATCCTTGACACTTCTCTTTTTGGGATACTTGAAATTGGTCCTCTTTGAATTCGTAATGTTTTGCTCTCTACGCATCCTTGTTGTTTGTCGTTCTATTTTAAATCTGGTCCTAATTTATTATTAAAATTGTCATCTGTGATCTTTGAAATTTGTCCTTTTTGGATCCTCGAGATCGGCATTTTACATAATTTTACAATCTGTTATTTGCATCCCATAAATTTGTCGTTTGGGATCCTTTTACAGTTCTTGAAATTTGTCCTCTTCGATAATTTGAAATTGGTTTACATAGAACACGCTATTTTTAACTATGTTTTTGAAATCCTTCTAATTTGATATTTCATCCTTGAAATTTGTCATTTTTCGATAGTTAAAATTTATCATATTTGAATTTGTTAAGTTGGTCGTTTTTGGATTCTTGAAATTAGGTTTTTTTGGATACTTCAAATTGGATATTTTTGGGAGCTTAAAACCTGCCGATATTCATCCTTAAAATGTGCTTTTTAAATCCCAACAATATGTTTTTTTACATCCTCGAATTTTGTCCTGTCGGTTATTTGAAAATTATACTTTTGGATCTTTGAAACGTCCTCTTTTGGGTTCTTGAAATTTGTCATCTGCGTCTCGTTTAAATTTGTTTTTTTTCTGATCCTTGAAATTGGATATTTTTTAAAAGTAAAACGTTAAGTTTTGTGTCCTTAAAAATTCTTGAAAATTTCTTTAAAAAATCCACTTTTTTTGTCCCTTTTTTCTCTTATGCTAGAAAGTCTAAGGATACTTGAAAATACCACTTGAAAATTCATGTTTATTGATCTTAAAATTCTTTCAAAATTCCTTTTAAAAAATTCTTTATAAAATCCACGTTTATTGTCTCTTTTTCCTTTTATCCTAGAAATTGCAAGGACCCTTGAAAATATCGCTTGAAAATCCATGTTTATTGTCCTTATAATTCTTTCAAAATTCATTTTGAAAAATTCCTTATAAAATCCGGTACTCTAAGTATCCTTGCAAATTTCTTTATAAAAACAACGTTTCATGTCCTCTTTCCTTTTATCCCTGAAATTCCTAGGATCCTTGAAAATTCCACTTAAAAATTCACGTTTATTGTCTTTAACGGATCTATAAACATTCTTTTTGAAAATGTCTATATAAAATCTACGTTTTTAGTAATTTATGGGTCCTTGAAAAAAGTTATTTATAAAATCCTTCATAAATCGATGAAGACTCCTTTATAAAATCCACGTTCATTGAAGCTTTTGGGTCCATGAAAATTGCTTTTATAAAATATACGTTGATTGAAAATTTTGGAATCTTGAAAATTCCTTTCAAAATCCATGTTTGTTCTTAAATTTTTAATCATATAAAATTGATTTTTAAATTCCACGTTTATTGTCCTTTTTAAATCCTTAAAAATTGGATTAATGGATTCTTGAAAATTTCTTTATTCAAGCCACGTTTATGATCCTTGAAAATTTCTTCATAAAATTTACGTTTGTTATCCTTTAACGATCCTTGAAAATTTCTTCATAAAATTTACTTTTGTTA